CAAGTAACGTCTATGTTTCGCTTACCATGTCTACAGCTCACTAAATTGCACACTAAACACGTATAAAGAACATGCCGTGAGGGCCGGAAGCGCTGTAACTTCTAAAGCTTCCCGCCACGTATCACGAGACACCCTTCCGTGAAAAGAATGGCGCTGCAACAGCTCTCAGTCCGAGGTGGTTCGGTTACAAATTCATGGCGCCTACATGGGGTGTCCGTCACCCGCACACCGGAACTGGAAACCGTTCCGGCATGGCCGCACGCATGATACGTCCGGAGGGGAAGGAAAGGAGTGGAGGGGATGGAAGGTGGGGATGGGGATAGAAAAGCTATGGCAGATAGTCAGGGAAGGGGTATGAAATTGGACACGGAGCAGATGGAGGCAGAAGACGCATGGACTTTGAGGGGAGTGGGTACGGAAAGAGGACACATAAATGTGCCGCCTACTTATAGACGCTGTTAGAAGCAGGACAGAACAGCAAGCAACGAGAGACGAAAGAGTGAAGGAGGAGTATAAAAGAGAGCGACCCTCCGAACCGACCAGTACGCCACTTCACATTGCGCCAACTGGCGCGCCATTTGTGCCAACAAAAAGCTGTCCGCCTGGGGGCGACCACTGCCGCTTCGTGGCCGCCCTGAGGGTGCGCACGATGTCTGAAAAACGATACCGTTAGCGGCTGTGGGCTGCGAATTAGCCATCTGGCGGTGACCGAGAAAACTAGGCTGACCGGGGCCGCCAGCGAGGTGGAAGGGGCCTAATTGGACAGGCAGAGTGACGGGGACAACGGGAAGGTAGTGGGAGTTGGGACAATGGATGAGAGGGACTGATGGGCCTGAGTTAGCGTGATGGAGGGATCACTGGGAAATATCTGTCCGGTAAGGGAAGGGAGGTGAGGAAGGGCATTGGGTCTGAATAAATTGAAACTGTGGAAGGCTTAGCTGCATGCACTTGGGCATGCGTCCGTGAAGTATCGTAACGGTTAATCAGTTACTCGCAGTCACACCATTCACAAATTCCAGCTTTGACTATATTCGACACGAACAATACAGCGAACCGCTTTCTGCAAGAACGTCAGACGTGCACATTGTAATGAGTAACCTACAATTTGCACGCATTTACTACGTCGTGCACGCGCACTGCGCACGTCACAATGCATGACTGCATGACTGAAATATGGAACGACCCATGAAATGCAGGGCAATCCAACTAGCGAAAAGATCCAATAACCTCGCTCGTTTAGCGATCAGTGACGGGCGAACGGCCAACCGGCTGGTGGATGCCGCGTCGGCCTCAATTCGGCGAACTGCGTGGATCGATTGCATAGGCCATGAAGCTGCGTGGCTGTCAGAGCAGAAGCGAGCTCGCCGCCGAGCCGGCGCCACATCCTAAGCAGAGTCTGCTGAGCCGCCGAGCCGGCCGACCGTGCCGGCCAATCCAGTCGGTCTGAGTTTGAGCAGTGAGCCAAACTGAGCCCAGCCTGAGTTTAGGATTTGCTGGACCGATGTCACACTAAGCCACTTCTAGCCAAAGCCAATGTCAATCTAGCTATACCCTCTCCTCTCGTCCGACTCATAGCGAACAGGCACAGGTCGTTGAACCAGTGCTGGTTGCCATTGCCGCTTGGATTGACCGTTCCCAGCGGTGAGAAACTTTACATGACAATTTCTCACTTGCTTCGCCACTGCGGACACTCTAGTTTGGACTCGACTAGGCAATGCCTGGGAATCTCCTTTTTGTAGAAAAGTTATAATTTCACAGATATTACATACAGGTAGTTTTACATCATACTAAGCCGTCATAATATCGTTAACCGCTTAATAAACCGTTTCCTTCTATTGCCGACACTCGGCGACATTCCTCACACATTCAATGACATTCCACAGCCTCCCTGACCTCCGGCTGCCACCGTGCCGCCATTCAGATCGAAAGCGTGTGAGCGAGGCATGTCGGACGCGATTTTGTGCAACAGTAAAAACCGGGGAGCGCCAGCGTCGACAATGGGTCGAAAAACGAATTGCAAAAACTGCCTCCGGCTCCGACGGACTGGTTTTAAATGCCAGGGGGTGTAGTAGATAATCTCAAATGGTGTCTGTGTCAGCTGACGGCGTCTAGAAGAACTGCACATAGGTGATGCATTTTTTAAATTATTTGTATTTGATTTAAAGTTATGTTGAGTAACGATTATATTTCTTCTTCGTGCTCCTTCATGTTTCCAACTCAAATTGCATACAACATCCTTGCCTGTGTAAAGCAAAATAATAAAACAATCTTAGAAAACACGAAGGGCAGTGCTATTGCATGCTTGCCATCGCAAATAAATGGCGAGCAACTTCAACCTCTACTCACATTTCGCCACATTTTGCCCGCCTAAACGCACGGTGCACCAGCTATAACACCAGGGTCATTACGCTAATGTGTGGCGACTGGCGATGCCGACACCCTTATACTGGAGCGGGTCGAGAAAGGCCGTACGCTACACACTAGCGCGTTGGCTCCTCCCGGCCCCGCCCGCCGACGAGGGAGAATGACCCGTGGTCGCCGTCACCGACGAGGGGAGTGACAGGGAGGGGGGGAGGGGTCAGAGCGCTTCAGCAGGACGAACAGGAGGGGTGGTTCCACACTTCTGACGTCGCTAAATCATACGGTATTATTTGGATATTTATTTTGAATGACTGTGAGTTACTTATGACTGTTCCACTTTGAGCACGTGAAAGGTGCATGCATATAAATGGTAACTAAAACCGCGCAATTAACAGCGAAATGTGTATAATATCTTTTTGACATTGGTTGCTGCCAGTCATGCTTTCGTAATGTCCTCATTACTGTATTCAGGCGTACAATATGACATAGCAGTTTCTCCTTATTGACTATAATCAACTTATAAAATATGCACAAATAATTGTTGAAACACGGTGGTCGGCAAATACTGACAAAGCGCATTAAATTATGAACAAAAACAATTTTCTAGGTGACTGCATAATTCAAAGGCAGGGGCGGCGGCACGGGTTTTCGATAGGGGGGGACGGGGACTGTAGCTGTCCGAAAATCCCGAAAGTAGATACTGATCGTGTATGCAAAAAAAACGAGGCACGTAACGCCGCGAAACTTGGCAAAGCCCAAAACACATCGAATGGTGCATCCCGTTTCCAAACTTATCCTAGGACACCTAAGATCGATCACCTTTTCAAGCATCCTTGCCTCTAAATCAAAATTTGCAGTCTTGCCAACTCAAAGCTGGTTTCCTACAAGCTGCGAATTGCTTAGGGATACTGGCCGCGTGGCCGAGTGGATTGGGTGTCCGGCTGGAAATCCGGAGGCGGGAAGTTCCCGACCGGTCGGTCAGTGTCGAGTAGCAGTGTCAACTATTCTTACGTTTCGTACTTTCAAATTTTCGATCTTACGTCTGGTCAGCTTCATGGCTTCACCATCATATAGTCATGGAGGAAAAGTGGGAATGTCTTCTGCTCTGACAAGTGCGCCAAAACTGCAATATAATTTCAGAATCATGACATCACCACCTGATCCATATGCAACGGGCAGGGTGCAGCTAATGGCTAGCCGTCAGTGGTCATGTCATTGGTGGTCACTCAAAAGGTCATGCTAGGTCATGGAAGGTCACCAGCCGTTATTTGATCACACTTTCTGATGGATTTTACTTACCAAGAGCTTCGCGGGAAAAACGAGCGCACATGCCGCATGCACCGTTGCAAAAAAATTGAGTGAAAGGGTTTCAGGTCCGGCGGCCTCTGCAGGTGAAATGCCCCAGGGTAGGATTCCGGTACTTGTTGATTAACTTCGTCAAAAATGGCAGTAGAGCTGTGATGTCGGCACCATTGTGTTCGTCATGATCGAGCTGGCACGACCTGCATCGTTCTCATATTCACCCTCCAATCGTAACAACACAGCATGGGGATTGGCAAATGGCGGGGCACCCCCTTTGGGAGGTAATGAAGGTCTCTGGAAACCTCATCCCTCATCTCTTTAGCATTAGTGGCTCTCCTTATGGAACAGGTTTCTTGACTGGTCTGTTTCACCCCAGAATTCAAAGACTAGTCAAGGTAAAACCGAGCGCACCACAGTGAGCACAATTTGATAAGCTGGTGTATCTCAGTTTCCATGTAGAACCTTTCACGTATCACGTACCTAAAACACTTTCGTGCACTCATGCAAAAGCAACTGCCATGTTTCAACAGCTGGTAATGGCATTTTCACAGCCGCTGACGTAAGAAGGGGGGGGGGGCTCGATTAGACCCCCAGCCGTTCGGCCGCCGACCGAACTTAGTTTTGCAGAAAAAAAAACGAGTGCTATCGAACCCCTTGACGAGAGGGAGCCGATGCTACCCAATTATAAGGTCTTAAGCTACTGCGTGCTTTTTTGGTCCTGCCTGTGATCTATCCGAACACTTCTCCCCACAAGTGCTGGGGTTAAATGGCATAGATTTCAAATGGTTCCTGTGGTAGAACTGCCATGCTTGAATTTGACTAATTAGGAATGGAAAATATCCATATATGTAACGGAAATCTATGGAATTTCAGTTAACTTGGTTTTGTCGGCAATGGGGTCTGGCTGGGGAGGTAATAACCCTGCCTGACGCCCCAAAAAGGGGGGGGGGCACGATCCCCGAGGCCCTGCCGATCAACTCATAGGCATCACAGCTCCACACCTTTTGCAGATGGCCAGGACCCCCTGCGATACATCCCAACAGCAATATTTATTCAGAACCTGCCTTGATTAACCAACGATGCATTAAATGCGACGGATAACTTTACAATGCACTATTATCAACTATTGAACGGGCCTCGCCGATAGGGGGGTACTGTACCCCCCTAACTTTCGATAGCGGGGGACCTGTCCCCCCCGTCCCCCCCGGTGGCGCCGCCCATGTTCAAAGGCCCCTTTGCACAACCGATTATTAGCTTTTTTACAGCCAATATTTCACTGTTCGCTGTACGCCAGCTTCAAACACGGCCCACCTGACACCCTGTCCTATCTGTTACAGAAGTCAGCACTATGGTCCAGCGTTGGCGGTGGCGATGCCTCCAAGATGGGCCCAGCCGGGGCCCAGGGCGGGGCCCCGAGCGTGTCGGGCGCCGCCGGGGGTCTTCTGCCCGGTCAGACAGCGCCCCAGGGCATCTTCCACAGCTGGGTCTCCATGGTGGCAGAACAGATGGGCCACCACGAGGTCCACTACCCGTGGGTCAACGGAGAGGTGAGCTCAGAGGGGAGGAGGAGGGGGGGGGGGGAAGGGCTGTCTCAGTTGTCCTTTGTCTTATTGCCACATTTGTCAGAAACTTTAAAAAATGTTGTATAGCCGTGTTATAAGGCAGAATTCACAAGTATTTGACTGGCTATAGCTTTGTAGTTTTTTTCAAGAGATGATAATAAATAGACACGTGACATCTTGTGACGCATCATTGGAATCGCTGGACGCTTGATTGCCAGACTGGTTGGCCCTGACTGATCACAGTAAATGGTGCATACGATTAGTGTGGGAAACAGGCGTGCTCACGAGCCCTCCCGCTGCAGACACGTTGTAAATGTGAGTCGAGAAACATAACTGGTCTCATTTGTGATGCTCTATTTACACAAATTATTTTTCCAGCATTGCCGAATGTATTAGCAGAGCCAATTAGCTTGAATTTAAATGATAAACCAGTAAACTAAGTGGTTGAAATCTACAGATATGTGAATATCTGTAGGCGTGGAATATTATGTCTGGCACCATCCAAGCGGCACTCCTGAACTTACGCTGTTAATGCCGTCCAGTTTTCATCATTCTGGCTTTCTTTTGCGACGTTGGTATCTCAACACATGCTTTCGCTCCACGTAGCACAAACATACTCATGGCTCATCAAACAAGCTGTTCACCTTTCCATTGGACATAGCCACTGACATTAGGTTTACCCGGACAGAGTTATGTTGAAACATGCAGAGCGCTAGTCGCGAGTCGCCAGTTTACACCGCAAACATGGTTTGTGCTTAGCATCAAATGTTCAGTGCAGTGAAATGTAAGGGATGCCATTCCTGTTCAGTAACCATAAGTTGTGAATCGTAATGTGGGCAAGTACAGCTTCTCGGTAGGTACTCATGAAAGTCCCGGCTATCCATGACTTCATTGCATCATCAAGGGAAGGGACCACGGCTGATTGGAGTGGAGGGGACTTATGGAGTGCCGCAATGTTATACCATGAAACGTTCATGTTGGTTACTGGTGGGTTTGAAGTGATGCATGCATTGCAAACGTTCTTCGGTTCACTCAGCTCACCATTCACAAATAATTCCACCCATTCCCGCCCCGCTATTCTAGCAATTCCACTACACCATCCAGTCAACCTCGCCACTCCATTCCTACCACCCATTCCTACCACCCATTTCACTCCTCCCCACCGGTCGCCCTGTCTGGCTGCTCGGTTTGATCGCCTCCCACTGATCTCCGCTGGCGTTTTTTACCCGTCTGGGTCGCCCGGCCGGCCGCCACGGTCGGCTCACTGTTTACAGCCACCTTCTGAGACCCCCGGGTCTAAAAATACAGCCGCTACCCCGTCCGGTGCCGCGCCGCCGGAGCCATTGCCGAGGTTAAAAAATGCCGGCCGGCGGTGTTGGCCCACGGCGGCGAGCCAGCAACGCTCCACCCGCGGCCCGCCAGGCTACCCCGACGGCCGCCCCTCCCCTCTGAAGCCCACCACTCACCAGACTGCCCTACTCAGTACTCAACCGACCCACGGCTGACTAACTAGTCATCCCTGTCCCCCCTCTCTCCAGCGAATTTACCCTAATCAACCCACCTAACTACCCCTCTCCTCCCCTACCAGCGAGCGGACCGCCCGACAGCCCAACCCCTCCCCGTCAGTAACCGCCCAGAGCCAGCCTGAAATACCTTTCCCTTCCACTGACCAGCACGCAGGACAGCCCCCTTTCCCTTCTCTTGTGACCACAGAACCCCCCCCCCCCCCTCCTTACCAAGTGCCATGTGTGTAACAAGATGCCTGGACATACCGAGTCTGGTCCTTGGAGCTACTGGATAATGTGTCAGTCCGCCCCTCACATGCGTTCTAACGTGTCATTCGGTCCGTTTCAGATGAAGATGGGGGCAGATGTCAACGGAGGAGGCGTAAACAAAGGTAAGATGGCGGCCGAGGGACACCGGGCTAACCCGTTTCCATGGAAACCATCCCCTGCCGACCGTCCGCCGTCCAATTCCACCCGCCATAGGCCTACCCGCATTTCCGATAGGCTGTGCCGCCCGCCGGAATTTGGGACAGGGAAAATGGCGGCGAAGACGGACCGAGAGCGGGCGGTTTCCCGAGAGACTAATGGTGTCAAGGCCGACTGGAGAAAACGGCCAGGGAATAGAGGGTACTTATCATTCCAGGGCCGGCGGTCACTGTATCAAAGGAGAATCTACCTCGTTACCTGTAAATTGATACAATTATTTGAGGTGCCGTCGGCGTCTTACATTCTTCTGAAGAGTTTTTTTTTTTTTTGTTCAAAGCCGCAACAGCGGTAACATTCGAGTCGGATGGTCAGTTCAGTTCAGGCAGAGCAGCGAACTGCTGCTTTGATGCTGCCCAGTACAAATTCTAGGATGAACGGCTACTTTATTTGACACTGTTGCCGTAACTAAAAAGTCATGGCAAAGTATGTGGCTCAGTCTACGTCTCAGTCTGTGCAATGTAGTCTGCTTTAGTCTGAGAGATAGAAGAGACTCCTGCACTCTGCTTCAAAGTACAAGTACCTATCCACCGACGCCTGACCTTCCCAGTGCTTGTTTAAGCTGGAAGTGCTTTGGGCGTTTTTTACGGCGGTTTACGCTGAATTAGGGAGATGTGACGGCCACTGCGCTTTACCGCCTCCCCGAAATTGGCGCTGTTGCTAACGCCTCTGGCCTTGTGAAGTGGCTGAGGTGTGGTTTAATTTTGGAGCAAAGGGATCCGACTGATCTTATAAATTGTAAATTAGGACGAGTATGTAACCCAAGCCAAACCATTACAATTCACATAAAAATCATAAGGGCTCACACTGGCGTTAAAAAATGTTGCACATTTTAAAAAAAAATGTTGCCTTCATTACGAGCGAGCGAGCGCAGCGAGCGAAGTGAGTCTTTTCAATATAACGGAAAAATCTCAGTATGAGCGGCCCGGCCCGGCCCGGCCTGTAACGCTTTTGAGAGGCTTATATCTCTGCAACCGCTGGACCGATTGACCTGCGGTCTTTTTTGTTAAGTAGCCCCATCCCTTCTACCCCGTAATTGACTACTTTTGATACATCTCAGTGACCGTCGTGGCACGTGCCACGTGAAAAGTCAAGGGTGTTCAAGCCGTTTTGCAAAAGTAGTGATTTTGAGAGGCTCATATCTCAGCAGCCGCTTGGGCGATTGACTTGCGGTAATTTTTGTAGGGTAGCAGCATCCCTTCTACCCAAAATAGGATAGTCTAGATGCATGTGGGTCACCCCCAGTGCACGTGCAAAATACAACAATAAGAGGTGCCAAATTTGTTCCCATTTCAGTAACTCGGTAATTACTGGGGCGATTTCGCTGAAACTTGGCATACAGGTAGGCACCCACCAGGCAATGCATTCCCATGTGTTGCGGTTAGGGTGCTACTGCACGTGCGCACGTGCAGGGGGCGTTTCCAGATCTCGAGAACGGCTGGGCCGATTGCGCTCAAATTTGGTACACGGTTGGAGACCAGTTAGTAGGGTGCCGTGCAAAAGTCGTTTTGGACTCCGTTTGCACGTGCGCACGTGCAGAATGCCGCTTCCAGATCTCAGGAACGGCTGGGCCGATTGCGTTCAAATTTGGCACACCGCTAGCGACCGGTTAGAAGGGTGCTTTGCGCAAGCCCGTTGGAAGCACCCTCTCGCCCTTCCGCACGTGCAGGGCTCACTATCTCGCTCGCTCGTTCTTCGCCCAAAAGGCGTTTTACTGGTTGTAAAACATCGATATTTCACGCCAGGCATGCCAACTTATTCCCGGGGGCACAACGGATGAAACGCATGAAATGTCTCCAAGTGTTCATCCATCATAATGTTGGCATCTCACAGTCACCTGACAGGGGTGAATCACTTCTAAAAACTCTGCATTCACAGAACATATTGGTACGTTGCCAGGTATAAAAATAAGAGGACTTGTCTCAGTTAAGATATGACCTAGTCACGTAATTCATGTCAGTGGAAAGCAAAAATTGTCAGCATAACAGGGCCTTTTATTTAAATGTCAGGTTTTTATTATGTGAAATTTAATGATCTCAATTCTCAGCATTTCAAAATGAAAGCAGATTTTTCTTTTAATTCGGCTGTGTTTTCTGATGTTCTTTTTTATGTAACGTATCATATTTTTATGTAAAATTGGCCGTCGTCTCATAAAAAGTAACGCTGTTTCAAACATTGCGCGTCCCAACCCAGACGCAGAAATTATCCATACAGGAATGCAGGCCTTCGCCAGAATGTGCGCCGTTTTAATAAATTTTCTGTTATCTCTCTGTCGCGATGCTGCTGGCTGGCACAGCTCCAGGCCACAGCTGAACAAACTCTGGCACAGCTGAAAGCTGCACGCTGCCGCTGTTACGTGTTGCACTATGTCAAGGACGAGATGTTATGCGAGGTATGACACACCGTGCTTCTTCTTTTTATGAGCAGCACGAACATAATGTGCAAAAACAGAAAATGATGCAGGTTTTTGTTATTCACTTGTCAATTATTTTTAAGATTCGAATTTCAACGTTGTTTCCAAAATTCACCGTCGTTATATAAGCAGTGACTGGGCCACATCAGACTGGTTTTTCAAACCGGTTGGTGATCAATAATTCTATTCAAGCGACCATTTCCGAAACTGATTTGCATGTTCCACATAATGATGATCGAATCCTTGTCAACCCCATCACAGAACGCAGCAAGTCTGACGCCAGAACACAGTCATCACCGAACCAAAGCCCGTGCTCGTCTCCAGCTAGACCTTGATGACCTACGCAGTAGGTACGCTCATCAGAGATTCCCGGAACACAACACCTTCACCAACAAGCCTAATCTGCACAGATAATGCCTATCATCTGCAGTCTCTGACATGCTGGACAGTGGACACACGATGAGCCGTCTCCCCGTGTATGAGATACAGGCGCCACTGCATGAGTCAGTCGATGACAACCTCGGGAAGACGGATCACCGGTCCCCGCGCGGTGCAGATGGAGGATGACTAACCAACTTTGCACGGTGCGGATCATCCCTCATTCGCTCTATCGGGTCGTGCTGGAGATCTCTGCAGCAGACCAGACTCCCCACCTCCGCGGTGTGAGGAACCGTTAGCGCGGGTTGTGGCGCCGCCCCGACCTACCCCACTGGGCACTGTCTGCACCGGTGCACTGACGGACGTTTTTGCCGGTGTTTTTGTGCATTGCAAGGTCGTCGTGCAGACCGCGCTGCACCGCGGCGGCGGCGGGAGGCAGACACACCACCGCGGCATGCGTGCTGCGTAGCCGCCGGTCAAACGCGCTCCTCCAATCAGCGAGCGCAACCCGCGCTGTTTACGGCCCCGTCGACCAATCAACGCTCGCCTCCAGCGCGACGCGGCGTCAACAAAAACAGTCGGCGATCGGAGATGTTTTTTGAGGCGACGGACGCTCATACGTTTTTTGACGTCGAAAAAGACGGCCATGCGACAGGACGGCAGCGCGTGCGACGGCGAGGGACTCGCTTCTGCCGAGCAGTGGTGCTCCGCCGATATGGAGGTCACCGATACGGACGGCTTTCTCTACTCTCCGCGCCTGTTCATGGGTAAGTTGGCCGCGCGGCCGGCCCTCCGCTAGGCAGCCCCGTTCCCCTCACCTGGTCACCTGGCTCTCCGACCTTGCTTTTCGTCAGCTGGCCGCCGTGCAAGGGCACCCGACGGCGATTCTCGTCTGTCCAGTGGCCTAAAAACGAAAGCAAAAACCGCAGACGGAGTAAAAAATCAGACATTTCGGACAAAAACAGTACGCGCGCCGCAAAAAAACCGCCGGCGGCGAGCGCCCAGAGACCGGCCGTGGTGTCTGGCCGTTTTGTCTGCCTGCGACTGCGACTGTGCGCGGGTGCGTGAGTGGGCTTGTCGTGACCTGCGCCGTGAAGAGTCGAGATGACGTGGCTGGACATGTGGTGGCGTCCCGAGGATAGTTATCGTGAGTACGGAGCGGTGTGCTAGGGTTGTCATGGAGAGCCTATTGCTACAGCACCAAGCCCAAGAGTTGTGACGAGGCTGTGTGCGACGCTTTTCATTTTTACCAAATTGTTGCATTATTTGTCGTATCCGATTGCCACAGGGTTAGCTTCAGCAGGCTATGTATGAGGCTCCATTTTGATTTAACAGACCAATGTCCATTGTCCAGCTGTATGAGTCATACGAGAGAAGGATGCAACGTCAATCATAACACATGCACTTTTGATCACCCTCATTGTGCCAAATGGGTGTCAACGGCAATTGGGGTCAGCGCCTTCAACAATCAACATGTCACGCTTCGTTTCGATGCGCCGCTTGCGTTCGCTCCCTGCCTCAGAACTTGTTAGAAGGTGCTATGCTAGCTGCCTTCGTCTCTTAGTGTCATTATCGAACGTTTTTGCTGCATTCGACAGTCATATCGAAACATAACATAACTGACAAATGACATTGCATCACGTAAAATCTTCATTTACGGTTGATTTCAAAACGACTCTTTGGATGCATTTATAGTTAACCGCCAGCTAGCTCACCCATATAGAAATGCGATCCCTGAAAACGCATTACATTGATTTCCACATTTCCTTGTCGTTCTCTGCTAGCCGGTGGCAGCTCGAGCAGAGCTTCGTTCGTATTTAGCAGTTCACTCTACCCGCCCAGATTATCACATCATCTTGGCGTTAGCTGTACGCTGACCCGACCCGGCCCATGGCTCGCCCAAAAACAGTCGGTTGTATAACTGAACGGCCTCCCCCGCTGGGCCGCGACCCTTGGCCTGGCGATCTCTGGAACTGGGGACAAAAACAGTCATGGTCGGCGCAGCTGACGCCATCAGTGCACAGCCTTGCATAGTGCAGCCCTGCATGGGACAGATAACATGAATTTTGTGCAAATTTTGTTACGTGCTTCTAAAAATGTGTCTCGGAGGCAAATATTCCTTTTCTGAACATATCGCTGTGGATTATTGAACATATGATTGTAGAATTACCCAAAAGTACGCGATTTCTCACCATCTTCATTGCGTCTTTACCTTCTTTGCTCATCAAATCCCATCTATAGTCGTTCTGAACCTAGCTCCCGGTGCTGTAGCGCCTCTAAAGATGTCCTCATCTCTCCTGCATAGTTCGCCATCACCCTATCTCCTGCCCGTCTCTCCCTCCCGTCCTACCGATGGCGTCTCGCAGGGTGGTACCCTCTCCCCCACACTGCTCTCCTGCGCGACCCAGCATCTTGGCTCCCCTCACCGCGCCCAGAATGCCGCCTTACAAACGCGACATAAAGCCACACGGCCTCCCCTCGTCCGACCAGAAGGCACCGCCGGCCGTCACACGCGTTTTTGTACGCAGCTCGGGAGGTCAGTGGCACTGCAGTTATTGCATTTTTTGCCCCGCCTCAAGTGCTGGCGCTGCGTTTTTGCCCCGGGGCGTTACCGCTGTGGGTGACGTCATCAGAGGGTGCCGGCACGCATGCGCGTTAGGTGCCGGGCTAGTCATGGGTGCTGGCAGGTCACTGAACTGATCATCGAGCTGTAACAGTGTGGTAACCGGCCGCGTGCCGCCCCTGAATTATGCATTCGAAGAGCTATTGCCATCAGTTTCTTTAGACATCTCGTCTAGGTACTTGATTTCTGACATTGGCATTGCACACAAGTAGAATTGCACATCAGGCTCATCCATCTGCTGTGTTGCACCTCAAATGAGCGATGAGGCATAATGAATTCCATGCTCCCACTCGGAACCAGCGGTGAGCACCTAGCGTTTTTTTTTTATCCGCTACTCAGTGCCACCTGTAAAAGGGCTTCGCCGCTCAGTGCAACGGTATTGTATAGAAGCAGGTGCGTAATTTGTCATGTATTGAACAGCTACAATGAAACGGTCTGATGTGTGAATTAACTTATCAAGAGTTTAAAGATATGTCGCACGACGTACTTTACATTTGCGCGGAGTGAAGGCCGGAAGTCCCTTTGCGCTACGTCAAGTGAAGTTTATCGCCAATTTCACCACTTAGCAAGGGAGGGGCCGCTGAATCAGATCGATTGTGGTGTGTTTGCCAGGGAAACGCCCCTAGCGAGAGAGGGTAGAATAAGTGCTCACGCGTCACACATTCGCTAGTCTCGCGTCAAACGAGCACTTTGCACTTTTCTAGACACGACAGATCCGGGTCGGTGACTGTGGCTGTTCCATAACCAGACATTCATGGTGTCTGAAGTCGTCTGCTCCCGCGCGGGTCATGTTACCTGCTCTCCTATGATATCCGCTACCCTGCAATAAGCGGCGCTCATGTCTGGCAGTTGAGTTGCGCCACCATCTCGGCAGAGTTCTTCGATGACACATCCTGGAAGCGCCATTAAAGGGCACGAGTGTGTTCGTTAGCGGGCATTCAGCATAGAGACCGGGCCCGGAACCACATGACTACCGGCCCTCCAATGGACGCGGGTCTTTTCAGCAGGCGGTGGAAAGTTCTGAATAATGCATACACATGGAGATAATAAAGCAACCAATTGACCTCCAGTAGAGGCATTGAATTTAAGTTGCATCTGCAGAACGCCAGTCTCAATATTAACGTCCGAATTTATAGGTCTTAGATGATGACTGCGGTCTTCCAGCACTGGCGACTTGTCGAGTGATTTTGCGGTGGGTTTCTAAGCCTCCCAAAATAGCTCATAACGTTATTATCAATGTCAACTATTGAGAACTAGCTAGCGTAGGGGCCACCCGAACAGTGTCAAACACAACACAAATGACAACAAAGACACTGAGTCACTCCTGAAGTCAGTGTTGTTCCCCTTCTCCACCCTTCCCTTCCCCTGTTACAACCTGGTCCTTCGCTTCATTATGAGCTGCTGGTGGACCAAATAATTCACATTTACTTCCACTGTAATTTCGCGTGACTCTTTCACGGGACACCGGGGATCTATACATCATTTTCTACCCTCGACCCTATTATAGATCATGTATCAGAGCAGTACAAATCGACCTCCGACCTACTTTCTATTACATACCTCACTCCCCTCTCTGCATGACTCCTGCTTACACTTTCCCACCCTCTAGGGTCTACACCCTTCTGATCACTGTTTGAGCCTCCTTTCTTTCACATACTTCCCTCCCTTCCACATGACACCCCTCCCCGCCCTCTGGTCAGGATCTGAGTGCCCTCGCGCGCTCGGCGCCGCGGCCTAACTTTGCGCCGGCCGGGCCCGTCGGGACCCCACTGGCTGGCCACAATCTGCGAGCCACCAGCAGCCGACAAAATGAACGGCCCAACTTCGCGGCAAAACCATCAAACTCGGAACGAGGCCATTCGGCTTCTTTCTAATCGTGATAGATCTTGAGTTGGCAGAGCGGACCAGCTCCCATGAGGAGAGAGGGCTGCGTCTGCGAGCGCCGGACTCGGTCGGGTAGAGCAGGGGAGGAGTGGGGGAGAGGGGGTGATACTACTATCGCGATCAATCTCGGTCAGTACGTGATAAAGCTGACGTCTTCAACTCTGACCGGCGTTAGTACGACGATATCGGTCACCGTAAAGGTCGCTGTTATGGAATGTAACCGTTTGAATTGGGCCCACGAGGTGCTGGTCTACACTTCCGAATGAGTAACTCGGTACTGGCTAGAGTGACGGTGCACAGTATAACTGCAACCTTCACTGACCACAGCGGGTCCGCACATTGCGCCGCTGTAAACATTGAGCTAGCTGTGAGTCGTGGTGAGTCAAACCTGTGAGTCAACCCTGGAGTGCGTCTGTGAGGCAGACCGGCACATAATTTCCGCTCAGTCACCCCTCCTGCCCGCCCAGTACCCCTCCCCGTCTCACTGCCTGTCTTTGTGGGCATCTGTTGGTCTGCCCTCCCTCCCCACAGCGGACCACGCAGCGCACACAGTGCAACAGTGAAGGTCGCTCGTGCGGCCGGGATAGATAAGGCACTGATAGATGCGAGTCTGTGAGGCCTGGCCTGACTCAACAGTTTGGGTTGTCCACCCCCTGACTTAACCCGGCCGGGCCCGGGGGGTAATCCCAACCACCGCAGCCCGGGGGGGGGCGTTTTTCGCCCCCCCCCTGTCTGACTCCGTAAATAAGGGAGCTACGGAAACAAAAGCGATACCAAACGAAAGGTCCTTACGAGACGATTCTAATGCACCTAAAATTTTTGACCTCAGGTCAAATTTCAAGGTCAGAGGTCAAGGTCAAAGGCCAAAACCGGCTCATGTGTAGTGATCTCAAAGTAAGCCTTCTAGAGGACGGCAGGCTGCATCAAACCGGCAAAATTGGGTGTCAAACGAAAGAAGAGAATCTGAGGATTCTGAAAATGCGCTCTAAATCAAAGGTCAAGGTCAAGGTCACGCCCAAAATTGACCTCAAACTTGGCACTTTTTCGCACATCTTGCGTGCTAACTTCCAAGATGTTTTGAAATGTTTTGAGGCTTATCAGTTCCCTATTTGTGGTTCATCTTACGATACAAGGCTGCTCAAAGGTCAAGGTCACAGACGAGTATCCCTGCTAGAGGCTATTTCACTGATTCAAGTTAGTAATAATAAATAAGACAATTTTGCCATCCGGAAGCTCTAAATGAAGGCTTAGAGGAAAATAGATGCCAGATTCGTGATCAGCGGGTACAAATCCATCATAAACGACCTTTCATGTGTCAAGGTCAACCAGAGGTCATTCGAGGTCACGTGAGGTCAACATGAAACTTGACCTTTTCCGAACAAAATATATATCATTCGACGCGGCTTGACAAGGCGAATGCGATGGTACCACTGCCGTAGCTCTAGGACCATTTTTGTCGAAGTTATTTGCGAAAAACTAAAACCACATTTCGGGGTCGTTGACCTGACCTCTGACCTCAGGTCACCAAAACTATTTTTCTATTTTTCTCTAGGTCAAACGCTACACAGCCGTGCTCGTAATTTGTCTTTATCTCTAAAACTCTATTTTTAGCAGCTATTTGAAGTTTGCGTCTGTGACGCCGAAGTTTGCCGTGCAGGGGTCTAGAAAAATGGACCTTGTGACGTCATCAAGGGGGCTAGGTCCAAATTTTTTACTTCAGAAGATGTCAAATTGATGGGAGAAAAGGTACTGAAAGTTTCGCCTTCCTATCCCTAAGCGTTCGGGAGTTATCGCAAATATTCGCCAGGGGGGGGGGGGCGAAAAACGCCCCCCCCCGGGCCCGCGAGGGTTAACGGGCCAGTGGCTTACGACTATACTTCTGGATGCGCCCTGAAACGTGCTCTGTTCGGTGTTCTGATAGGAATACTGGTAGGACTGATGTGATCTGCATGGCGTGATGTCTTCGGTATTCGGAAGGGTTCAGCTAATGAGAACCTCACGCCACATGTGTAGCAGGCGGTGAATGGCCTGTGCCGGGACCCCAAGTTGAGTCATGACATGCAGCGGATATCGAACTTACGGCCACCGTTCGCCCTCGCCTCCTTGCAGCGACGCCGTTACACGACGCATTTCCTGCAGGAAGTTTACGGCCCTAAATACGTAATGTCTCACTCACGACATTGCACGAGGTCAACACTCGTTACATTTCTTTGCTTGTTGTTATGTGTCGCTTATTCATTCATGAGGCCCTAACATGACGTTCCCCTCTGTTTCTTCACAGCTCACAACCCGCTGGACGAGAACAACCCGTACCTGTACGGCGCTCGGGCCAACGGCACCAGCCCCGGCTCGCCGCCCGTGGTGACATCTAGCGGCCACGCCGGCAACATGCTGGTGGTGCCGCAGCCGAGTCTGCTGACCTCCAAGCTGCCCACGGGGCACCCCACCATGCCATCTGGGTACCTGCCGGCCGGCGCGCCGGTCGGAGCGACCAACAACACTGGGAGGAAATACCAGTGCAAGATGTGCCCCCAGGTGAGTTCGCAGCTCCCCCTGGCGACCAGGGGAGGGGGTATGACTCGGGAAGGGATGGGGAAGAGGGTGACAGCCTGCCCCAAGTGCAGCGGTCGAAAGGTTGGACGTGGTGCCACGATACGTTCGCACAACTGTAGAGAGACTCCGTGACTTGCAAGGGTTGGCGGGAACTTCGATGGCACAACCTATCGGCCAGTGAGTGATCCGTCCGCCGGACGAATTTCTATGAGTTTCACGAGCCAAGAGTATCAACAGTTTTCACGAACCGGCTCGAGTTCTTTTGAACGACAGCGTGTCACCGTGACCGGTAAACCGATTTGGCCCGAGCTCACACCGCCGACATACATTAAACCCCTCCTCGCCACTCACGTGTTCACCGTGAGCCCGACTCACGACTCACTCATGACTCAGCGTCGGTCTCTGCCGTCGGTCCCCCTCCCCCGTCGTCGTCGGCGACGGCTGCTGGCGTGCGCACGAGACGCCGCCGCCGGCAGCGTCGGTGGTACGCTGGCGCTGCAAAACCGGGCCATGGGCGGCCAACGGCGGCCGGTTGGAGCGCTGCAATCGATCGATGCGCCGCCGGCCCGACCGCCGGCCTGCCAACTCCAGGGCAGAGCGGACCGGTGCGAGCCTCACCGGGCGGCAAGACGGGCCGGCGGCAGAGATTGGGTGGAGAGGTGGGGTGAAGGTGCTGCGTCGAGATACCCATTGCACATGGTCGTAGCTATACAAGACTGTCCCTTGCTCGCTGTCGTAAAACGGCTCAGTAACCCGGCTCATGGAATTAGATAACACGGGTATAATTTGGACTGCGTCAGCCGTCAGGTGTCTGACGGATGTCATTTTGACGACCAGGGCCGAGCCGGCAGTTACGCCGATGTGTCATTAAGTGACATTAATACCAAAGGTGCCATAAAGCATGCAACACAACCGTTTCACTAACCTATAGCAGCCTGCCCGCGCTGCCTGCTAGCTGTTGCAGCGGCTCATTTCAAAGTCCCGAATCACCTGTATTAACCTCACGTAACAAGCGTGGCTGTACCGCTCACGGAAGCAAAAACGCTGCCGACCGGACTACCGATCAGGAATGGATGGGCGAAAGGGGAGAGTGCTCACCGCTTGCGGCCGTTTTGCTACGATCGGACCGACCCGGCGAAGGCTGCAGGTGCAGCCACCTTTCTACCGGATATGTGCACGCTGTCCAGCCCGAGGGCGGGGTGAGGGGAGAGAGCGGGCGCACTGCGTGATCGAGTGGCTGCGATCCAGAGGGGAGGGGAGGGGTAGCGTGTCCCCATAGTCGGAATGGGTTCAAAGGGCGTGAACAATGGCTAATGGGATAATTGATGCAGGTAGTTATTGATTTCGAAATCGATAGTGAGCGTGGGTAGTTGTCCTATTGCCATGGAAAATCATTGCTATGCTGATCATACGGTGCTGATCTAACGAAACGTTTGCTCGTTGCTGAAGTAGTTTTTGCTGCATGGTAAAGTGTTTATGAATGGATTTAGGGAAACATGCTCTTTTCCTTGGTACCATAAATGGTGCGATCCGCCCGGTTAGACCCAATTTTGGAGAGTTTTGGGGACATTCGTGAATGCTCAGCCGTCTGGCGTCTTCTGGCACTCTATGAAAACACTGTTGCCCCTGTGGCGAGCAAAGCATTGCTTCGCCCTAAACCCACGGAAGCATTTCTCCACATGACCTTGATTCACTTATGCATGTATGCAAATTGCCAATTGCCATCCAGCTGTTGACTCTAACCGCGCACTTGTTGGCGGGCTTGCACAACACAATCAACCTGCAGCCGCACCGCCTGCCAGAAGGCCCCTGTGGCCCGTCGCGCACGGGCTCAGTGCCATCCCCTGACCCCTGATATCGAGTCGCCGAGGCCAGGTGACCTCAGTGCCCGTCATGGCAGGAGCCCCGCCGGCGGCGACATACCCCGGTGACCTCGCCCGGGCCGCGCCAGCCAACCGGCCCCGGGTTGGGGTAGGCGTCCCCGACGGGCCCGAGGTCCCAGTGACCCTCCCGAACCGGAGCTGGCAGCGCTGAGACGGATTACCCGGGCCAGCTGCTGCGGAACGAAGTGCTGGAGAGGGGCGGGGAGCCTCAGAGGACCGTGAAGGGCGGGATCTGGAGGGCAACGTAGGAAGTCATGAAGGTGCCTCGGAGAATACCGTGAAGGAGCTTCCAAAAATAGTGGCTCACTGGATGACTCCACATTCTGATTATAGTACAGCGAAGAAGCTCTAGCGACATTTTGGAGGGACCCTAGATTTTCATTCAGGAGCTTTCGCAAACCATTGTAGAAACTCGAAAGCAGCCTTAGAGAAACCTAAGAAGCCTTGCAGGATCCTTAGGTCAGAGGTCGCCCGGTCCGGCAGCGCCCCTGTTAGGTGACCGGAACTGACCTGCCATGGGGCCATTTAGTGGAGCACTCGCGCCCCGGCCAACATACGTAGGCCGGCTACCACATCCGCCACTGTCATCCAAGACGGCTGCGGGCCGCGCCGCTCAGTACCTGGGGGAAATTTATGTCGGTAAGTGAGACCCGAGCCCGGGACAGAAAGTACGGGCAGAGCGCATGGCTAGTGGAAAAGTTATTCCGATAAGTCGCCGGCATTCGGCGCTGTCCGCAGCTAGATGGCACATTGCGAAACAGGAGTCGGAGTTGGCGGTTTTTAGAGGTTGTTTGAGTTTGCGATAATACCTGGACGGGGAACACCGAACAGGTTTGTCGTTTAGTCGTTCCCTCGCGTCCCCGCGCTATGTTTCGGAGGAAAGTATAGTTTATCTGATGCCATCCGTTGCTGTTTTGTTCGATGAAATACGTTAACTTGATGCAAAATGAACCGTCGCTGGCTGCTATTCCCTGGCCTTTGAGTATCGTGGACCCGAGCCTCGCTCGTTTTATTCATGCATTTTCATCCACTGCCATTATAATACCGTAACAACGTCCACATAAACGCATCTACATGCTTCCTCCACTACTTCTTCACCTGGTGTCTCTTTATCACCCATCCTCCCTCTGTCTTCTCCCATCCTCCCTCTGCCATCCGCTGTCCTCTCCCGTCGAACGGCAGCGGCTGGGCAGAGTTGGCTCGCCAGCCAGTCGCCCACTCGGCTCCAACGCAGTCCGTGGCCCATTGTCCACCAATCGTCGGCCAGTCAGTGTCGGACAAAGCGCTCTCCGGAGAGACAAATTTCTCGGCCATGGCACACTGGTGATCGGGACGGCCGACTAATGGACATCGCTGTCCCGATCAGTGCTTCGTCCAGGCAGACGGATGGCCACAATGTGCGTGAATCGTTCGGAACAGGCAGAGCATTAATACTCGGCGTTATCTAATTGTGAGGTCGGTTAATGCGTTCGACTAGCAGCTGAATATATTGGGCCGTTTTGTGAATTCTCAAACAAAGGGCGGAGAAGGACGATCTTTGATCGTATAAGGAAATTAAGAGTATATATTTGTAGCATGTAAGTTGGTTTTAAAGGCATTATTCGACAATGTATTCTATTTGGCTGATCAATGGTTGTCTTTTTGCGATAATAACTCGTCATTGGTCGCAGATGCACAAGGTCTATCACAGGCAGCACCATCATAAGAAGCTCCCCATTGCGGTGCGTGGATATTGGACTCGAGTCTCCAAGTATTTCACCCACACTCGTTCCCCGTCCCGTACTTCCCCGTGGAGCCGCCGGACGCGCCCGGCCCCATTGTCATGCGTGAGATGACGCGAGCTGCAGCCATCTTTCCAGCCGCACAGCCCACAGCTGCCCGCTGCCGCTGATCAATAATGGCGCGCAGAGCTGCGGCCAAACTGCCGCGCCCTCGACCCGAACCGCCCCATGAAAAACGCCGGTTCACTTTTTGGCGGCGTAAACCGGCGCGCCATTCCACGCGGCAGCCGGCAGAATCTTATGGGCGAGGATATTGGGCCGCTGTGAGGTAAAAATCGATGCCAGCGTAGCACGGGAGGGAGTTTTGGTGCAACGTTGCTTGCTGTCTCGGTTCATGGTTAGGCGCTGGCTGTAAACCATCAAGGGAAAGCCATGGGGAGATTGGTGAATTGCGCTCCTCGAACAGAACAATGTTTCGTTTTATCTTGACAGTCAGTTTGCGGCGGCGTCCGGTGTGATTAGTTTCGCTGTCCGTCCCGTACCGTCGGCGCTGTTGGCAGAGGCCGTTGACCTGGCGTGCACAGCACTGACCTGGGTGACCTTTGTCGGCCACCTGTGACCGGTGTGGGTCGACAGTCGACACCTTCCTGTCACAGCGGAGAGAGAGGGCTGCGGCAGGTACCGGGAGCCCGCGGCAGCTCCGCGCCGGCGGCTGCGCCAGCCCTCCAGCCCGACAGCTCGCATTTCACAGCTCACCGAGCTGGCAGAGCCATGAACACCGCTCTGCCCGAGCTGCGCCGGCCGTGCGCACCTGCCATCTAGTGACGGCGGTGCAAACTATCGGCGTAATAATGCCATCTATCGACCGCTCGCAGAACTACGCTCGGGGCTCGTTGGCTGACCTTTCTCAAGGGGAGCGCGGGCTGTCGGCCGCGACCTAGGTCTGCAGCGGGCCTGTTGTCGATGCCGGATCATGGGGGCCGCACCCCGTCACCGGGGACCACTTTCGCGGCAGCGCCATCAGTGTCGATTAAGGCCGCTCGGACGGCGGAAACCGGCCGCGAACAACGAGCGGCGCGACCACCAAACGAGCGCTGCGACGCCGGCGACGGGCCGCCAGCAATCAGTGGGAGAGGCCGGACGACGCCCGGCCTGCCCCAAGGCCCGGTCACCGGGGCGCACGGCCGAAGTTGGGCGCCGCCGCGAGCCCGTGTCACCGGGAGCGCCACGGAGAGTAATTCGGTGCCAAATGTTTACGGGAGTGGCTGGTGCATATTGCATGTGCCGATTGGCAAGTGCGACCCGCCGGACGGTTTTGGGTTAGGAAAGTTGAGTGTGTTCTGTTGGTGCACTTATTGGATGTTCAAAGTTGGGAAAT